CTCGTGTTGATGACAGTTGGGTTGTGTTCCATTTTTGCTCCTACTAATGCTGTATATGTGAACATTTTGGCACATGATTTCTCGTGCACATATCTAAGAGAGTTCTTTAGAGAGTCGATTCTCAACGTCGATAGCACTTTGGAAACATATGGGGATATTTAAATTACATCCATGCCAGTGTTCTGTTTTCATATACTTTGATTTAATTGATCTGAGGTGTGGCCTGGGAATTTTTTTTTTAATTCCCCTGGAAGTGGATTTTCTGGGTCAAATAGTAATTGAGTATTCAACTTTGACATTGGCTGTGCCTGGGGATACAGCCCAGTGGTATGGGGCTTGACTAGCATGTGCCAGGTCCTAAGTTTGGTTCCCAGTATTGCAAGGAAAAAAAAAAATTTACTTGTGTCAATTTATATTCACCAGCACTACGTAAGTGTTCCTGATCCACTACATCCTTGCCCACATGCCTGTCAATCAACTAGGTTTATTCGTTGTTACGGTCTGAATATGAGCTGTCCCCTAAAAGCTCCTGATTTAGTGCAGGAAAATTCAGAGAAGCAATGATAAAAGTGTGAGACCCGTAACCTAATCAGTCCATCCTGGTTTGAATGGGCTGACTGGGTGGTGACTGTAGGCAGGTGGGGAATCAATAGTCTTTTGTTTGTTTGTTTTGATACTGGGGATTGAACTCAGGGCCTCCTGCGTATTTGGCAAGTGTTCTACCACAGAGCCACATCCCCAGCCCTGTCCCTTGAGTATACTCTAACCTTACTTTTCTATTAGAGCTGGCATTTTTCTTGTTTAATAAATCACTCTCTATCCAAAAGCCAGAAATATATTTTTCAGTATATTTGTTTAAACATTTATAAAGCTTTTCCCTTTGTTAAGTTTTTATGCATTAGGAATCAATGAATATTTTTAATTAATTTATTTGTTTATTTGTTCTAATTTGTTTACATGATAGCAGAATGCATTTCAGTTCGTAGTACACAAATGGAGCACAATTTTTCATGTCTCTGGTTGTACACAAAGTAGAGTCACACATTTGTGTCTTTATAGATGTACCGAGGGAATTGATGTCCATCACATGCCACCATCTTTCCTACCTCCGTGTCCCTTCCTTTCCCCTCAATATATAACTTAAGGCTGAATAATATTGCATGGTGTGTGTGTGTGAGAGAGATCTGCAACAAGCTGGATCAACTGTAGGATGTCCGTTAAGTAAACTAAGCCTGGCACAGAAAAACAAATGCCATATGCTTTCACTTATGTCTTTAGTGTGAAAAAGCCGGATTCATAGAAACAGAGAGTAAGATGGTAGTTACCAGAGTTTGGAGGTGAGAGGATTATGGAGACATTTGTCAAAGGATGCCTAATTCCTATAGATAGGAGGATAAAGCTCAAGAGATTCATTGTATATCACTGTGTACTTGAAAAGTGCTAAAAGAATAGACAGGAAACATGTAAAGTAATGCACATGTTCAAAAGCTATGTTGTACCCCATAAAACATACAATATTTCCTTATCAATTAAATTCTTCTCACATTTAAATGTGGCAGAATTTATTACTATTTCTAATCTTGAATTATTTCAAATTCAGTTAGTACAAGCATCTTTAAGCTTAGGTGTAAAATAGAGAACAAATTCCAGGTTCTTTAATTGGTTCTTTTGAATTATATATGACACTAGAATCCACTTTAACATAACTGTAAAATGATGGGCTATATCTTGTTCTAATTCAGACCCCAGTACCTCTCCTTCCCTCTCCCCTCCCCTCACTTCACCCGTCTCTTCCCTCTATTGATCTTTCTGCCATTTACATGTAGTTTTTTTAAAATTAATTTCTTGTGGATGTACACGATGGTGAGATCCACTGTGGTGTATTCCTACATGTACCTGTGTGAATATGTATGTATTCCTACCCCCTCTTCCTTCCCTTTATTCCCCTTTGGTTGCTCCACTGAACTTCTCTTCTATCCTCCCCACTTATTGTGGGTTACCTTCCACATATCAGAGAAACCATTCAACCTTTGGGTTTTTTTTTTTTTGAGATTGGCTTATTCCACATGCATGATAGTCTCCAGATCCATCCATTTACTGGAAAATGTCATAAAGTCACTTTTTTATGTCTAAGTAATACTCCATTGTGTGTATATACCAGTTCTTCCACATGGGTTACTTATTCTGTCATTTGTTGAATAGTCTATTTTCTCCCTTGAGCTTCGAGTCCCTCTCCAAAACACATCAAATTGCCCTATGTGCCTGAGTTTATATGTGAGCTCTTTGTTCTGTTCCTTTGGAGAATTTCTCTATTCCTGTATCTACACTATATAATCTATTATTTCTTTACAATAAATCTGATATCCAATAGGTCAGTTTGGCCACCTACTCATTCACTCACCCAGTTTATTCTTTCTGGGGTGTTTAATACCTCTTGGGCCTGTGTTCTTTAAGTATTTGAACCAGCTTAATAGATTCTTGGGAAATCCCTTTTGGGCTTTTGATTAGAATTGACTGAATCTACAGATCAGCACAGGTGAATTAGCATCTTTAAGGAACTGAGCTTTCTCATGCAGAAACATGCTGTTGCTATCCCTGTAATTTTTTTCTTTTTAACTTCCTACCATATTTGTTCTACTACATGAATGGGCTTTAAAATTGAATACAATTAGAACTGTGCACCTAACTATATGTTCACCCTAACTATATAGATCAAACACAAATATAAATGGAAGTAACTTTTAAAAAAAATTTTTTTTAGTTATACATGGACACAATATCTTTATTTTGTTTATTTATTTTTTTATGTGGTACTGAGGATCGAACCCAGGTCTCACATGTGCGAGGCAAGCGCTCTACCACTGAGCCACAATCCCAGCCCCAAATGGAAGTAACTTTTTTAAAAAATAATTCTTAGTTGTAGATTGACACAATACCTTTGTTTTATTTTATTTATTTTTATGTGGTGCTGAGGATGGAAGCCAGTATCACACATATGAGACCAGCACTCTACCATTGATCCATAACCCAGCCCCAATGGAAGTAACTTTTGAAAACTGTTCTTTATAGTACACCTTCAGTGGGATGTATTCTAAAGACACGTGAAACTTCTGCAAAGAAATATTGAACTTTACATAACAGCAGACATTGTAGATAATGGATTGCTGCAATGATTCCAATTAGGTCTCTTGATCAATTTTCTAGTTTTTTGTTTAACTCAGCTACTAGCCTAAGACTTGGTCCACTGGTTGCTATGCAGAAATGGGATTTGTCTTTAGACCACCTTTGCCATTTATATACAAAGTATTGCTCCTGATTCGTATTATATATCTTGTAGAAGGGGTTGGGAGTATCTAGAGACTTTCTCTTTTCCCTATCACAACAATATGAAAAAAAATATGCTTTATGAGCTAGTTGTTATGGAGCCAGAGAGCTCTTCAGATTATCTAGTCTACCATCCATCTTCTTTTTGTTTTCCTTATTTCTTTCAATCTTTTTTTAAAATCTACTTTTCCTCATTCTGAAATGCCATATGTCTCAGATATATCCTTTCACTTCTCTAACTTTTCTTTTTCAGTCTCTCTCTCTCACCCCTACTTTTCTTTCACTACTTTTTAAAAAGATGACATTTTCCAGAATCCTGGCCCTCTTTTCTTCTTGCCATTTATCTCACCCATATTTATGACTTTGTTTACAGCATCCCAGTATACCTATATTTCCACCTCTAACAGACCCTAAGTTACAAATTTATATTGTAAACTACCTTTTTGTAACTTCCAATTGGGTTTTCCTCAAATTCAACATTTTCAAAACTGGGCTTGTAATTTCTCATGCCCTCCACCCCCAACTTCTCCTCTTCCAATATAGCTTTGTCAATATATATCTCAATATATCTCAGCTTGTTCATGAACCTCACTGAATACCATTCATCTAAGCCAGATGTTCCTGTCCATTTTAACTCTGACATATCCCTTGAATTGTGTCCCTCTTTGTCCAGTTTCCATTACCACTGGTAAGTTGGATCCTTGCCATTTCTTCCCAATCAGTAGCAATAGCCCTTTTTCTTTTTTTCTGTGGGAAATTCTTTTCCTCTGTGGGAAATTGGTTCCTTTCATTCGTGCACATTAAGGCTTAGGCTGACTAAATGGACATAGAGGTCTCTATGATTTAACCTGTTCTTTTATTTTGCCTGCCTGCTTCACTCTATGATGTGAGTGGGTCAAGAGTGTGTCTATCTCTTCTACCTTGACACCATTCTAGTGCCAAATCCAAGCCTGATACCTTTAAAAAAATCACTAAATGAATACACCATGGTCTCAACTCCCATGCTTCTGATTCATGGGACCTTTCTGCCAGCCCATACGATTTTTTTTTTTTTGCAGCAACACAAGTGTGCGCTCTTTGCACAACTCTAGTTACTATTTACTCATTTATTCACACATTCATCCATTTACATTGCTATTGCTGCTAACCCTGTGATTGGTACTGAATGGGTTCTCTAAATGAATAAATGAAAACAAACTCAGAATGCAAGCCAGGAGAAACTATATATCTGAGAAATTGACCAACATAAGGAACTGCAATACAAGAGCAGGTTTCTCCAGAAAGTATACAAATAAAGTACAGTAGGAGGCAAACATACGCCCTTCCCTCTCCCTGCCCAGACTGGGAACCAGATTTAAAGAATCAAGACTTTTTAGAATGAATCTGAGCAATACCAAAACCAAACTCTAGTAAAGAACTGGCTGAGAAGGCAGACTCTTTCAAACCCTTAAACAGACAAGAACATAAGCTTAAAGGACGGTCCAGGTGGTCTCTGGGCCACGCCCATCTTGGGGCGGGGCTTGCTCTGATAGGGCGGTGCCTACCCAGATGGGACACGCCCTCTGTGGGCGGGGTGTAAGCGGCCGGCTGCGCGCGGGCAGCCGTGCCCCCGCGGTTTCCTAGGAGATGAAACACACAGGACGCCAGAGCTTCACAAGAGAGCGAAAGAGGTAAGCGGTCGGCGCGGGCGGGTAATCCCGAGCGGGCTGTGGGGCCACCATCCTGTATCCAACCCAGCCCAAGCTTGTCCTGCGCGGCCGCCCGGCATGCCCCCTCGGCGCCCAGTCCTATCGGGGCCAATCTCTGCCGAGAGACCGGACCTGGACGCCGGTAGGGGAAGGAGTGGCGGGAGGAGGGTCCCGGGAGGGCGGAGCGGCCGGGGAGGGTCGGCCGGCGCGGATTGCACGCAAGGCTTCCCAAGCCCCTAGACCACTTTCCCGCCGTCTACGATGGGGGGACGGTGCGGAGTGGAGGATTACGGTGGGCTGTCCTCAGTGTAAGAGACCCCCGACCCGAACTTCTCCAGAACCCCATTTCCTTCTCTTGCCCTGCAGCCTGGGGATGGAGGGGACACTACCTTTGGGAGTGAGGGGCGGGACTGCGCCTCGGGGAGGAAGCGAAAGTGAGTTCAGAGCTGTTACAGAATTTAAAAGGAGGGAGAAGAAAGAAACGGGGTCCAAATCCGGCCCTCGCCGGTGCATCCTAAACGACGTGCTGGTAAAAGCGGAATCCTGGCACCCGGTGACCCTGGGGGGCGTCCCGCCAAGCCCTCCTCTGAGAGGGTCCTGGAGCAGGTGCAGGTGCCCCGGGAGCCCCCGCCCACGGCTGTCTGGACGACGCCCTCGCTGCAAACCGCGTGACACCGGCCTCAGGAGCCTTTAAGGGCTCTGGTTTGCGGAGAAAGATCAGTGTGTGTGAGCAGAACTCTCCCAATACTGCAAACAAGACATTTTAATTTAGGGGCAGGCAAGAGGTGAGGGGTCCGGGGGCGGTTTTAGTGGTTATAATTACAACTCTACAAAGAGATTTATGTAGTTGTGTTTAATCTTTTAAAAAGAGCATTTATTCTAATGATAACGGAATTCTCATAGTGGGAACAGGAAGTTATCAGACTAATTTTGACCAGAAAAAGACCCAACCCCTTGAGTCAAAATCGCCGTCGGGGAGGGAGGAGCTTCACCTGAAGGAGGCCACCTTCACTAAGGCCACACACAGCTGGTTTGGGGCAGGATGCTTGATCTCTTGCTTGGGGTGGGTTTGTTTCTTTTAGTTTTTAAATAATTTGTAAATGTCCACACAGAACACTATGCTTTTATTTTTTTAGGACAGAGTCTTTGTTTCCCATCATAATAACCCAGCATCGAATTTCTTAAACTTATAACGCAGTTAATTTGACATCTTTTTTGCTCATTAACAAAGTTGGTCTTTTTTTAAAATGCTAATTCCAGTTCTGTTTTACAACCATTAATGCCAGTATTGAAATGATACCATGATAATATGTTTTCCATGACAAGTTGAACACATCTAAACCTTGTCTATTTTGTGATTAGCAGACAAAGGTTTTAACCTCCATTTGCCCTCTGTGCTGATCTTCTTTAATCTTATCTAATCCCTTATTAGCTGGACAAAGCTGTTGAGAATAAAGGCCAAGTTTACACTAATTGTGCACTTAAACTGTAATTGTACACTTAGATAAAAATAAGAAAACTAGAATAAGGGGTAAATTATGAGGGTATTTATTAGTGAAAGTCTATAATTGAGACTCTTTAAATAAGTGTCTTTTTGAAAAATCACAAGCATTTAACTTGTAGAAAAGTCTATAGATATTGTAGCTCTCTTGTAGAAAATTCTGAGTTGCTAACAATTCTGTTAACTTAATTGAGGATCATAGTTGTATTACATTTTCTTAGGGTTTTTTTGAATATATATTTCATATATTCAAGTACATAAGCAATCATGTTAGTACATCCTTATTTTGCAGAACTAGCTTTCCATTGCTCAACAAATAAGAATAGATGTAACTTGTAGAGCAGTATTATGTGTGAAGTGGAGAACCACAGCGATCTGTTTTGAGTTATATATACAAGTTACATATACTAGTTTTAACTAGTAATAAGCTTAGGACCTTGCAATATTGCACTGATAAAAGCAGTTGTATATGTGCTATCAGTGAGTAAGTACATGGAAATATTTATTTATTTTTTAAACTGCCTTCATATCCATGCCCCACCTTCCTGCTGGCTTTTTTTTTGAGATGAGGCTCTTAGTAAATTGCCCAGACTGACCTCTGCTTGTAATCCTCCCACCTTAGCCTTCTCAGTAGCTGGGATTATAGGCATGCAGCACTGTGCTTGGCTATGTCCATGCCTCTTAACATGAGGCCATTGTCCCTATATTTCAGAAGATTGAAAGGAAAGCTGAAGAAATCAGCTTCTTACCCCGAAGAGCTGTTTATTTGTTAATTATAATGGCTCAGCAGATGCCTTTCTAGAGTTTATATTTGAGAGCACAGTATACAAAGTTGTTTTTAAAGGTTAGGTAGGGCTTAAACTGGGCAGATTCTTCCAGACCTACAAATCAAAACATTTTAGAAAATCGATGTGACAGGGCTAGGGATGTGACTCAGTGGTGGTGTGCTTGCCTAGCATGCATAAAGCCCTGGTTTCAATCCCTAGCACTGCAAAAACAAATAAATAAATAAAAATCCATGTCATATCCATAATGTTCCCCACTCACCCCTCAAAAGAAAGAAGCTGGGAAACAGTTGGGCTCCATATTTATTCTTCCCTAATTCTTAAGTATTCTCTGACCTATAGCTCTCCTCAATTGAAGTAACCTTCCTTACTTCAGATAAACCATGTTAGGTAGGCAGGATGAAGTTTCCCTAACAGCCCCTCCCAAAATGGTGGGGCTTCCAGGCCAATGCAGAAAGTCATCAGTGACTCAGTGTTCTGTTTTACTGATGTCCTGGTGCAGATTTAGGGTCACCCTCTCACCTCAAGGTAGTGGTGGTGATGGTGATTGGTGCTCTCACTGGGTGAAAGAGAGAGGCAGTTAATTCCTTTTCTTCAGGTTGTTGGGTGCCTGCTGATTGTTTCTGGTGGCCCTCTTACCTCTGCACTTGATTCCACTTCCTGGATAACAACCCCCACCCCATCTTGGTGACCACCATAATCATCTTCTGGGAGTAGCTCCTCTTCCATTCCTTTTCAAGCAGCATGTCCTCTCTCAGAATTGCCTCGTTACCTTCTGCCTCTCAGGACCTTACTTGAGTAAGCATTACCATGAAAATCATTTGGTTAAAAGAAGAGATGATGCTGTCGTGCAACTTCACTTCTGAATTATTTTTATGAGGGGAGTTCTACATGACTCCTTCTCCCTTAACCTTCCAAGTTCTAACATCTCACACTTTCCCTTTATTGTTTCTGGGATTTTTCAGTGTCTTTCCAGGTATCTGGAAGACCCAGGTACAGCCTCAGGCTTCAGGGTAGGGAGTTGAACCCTTGCGCTTGCCCACTGGCCAGCAGTATGGTGGTGGTTCAGGGTGAGGAGCTGGGTTAGGGATCTTAATGTTAAGTTGTGGGGTTTTAGAGCATGGATGGTTTGGTTCCTTCCGCTGCATCAGTGATCATAACTGCATAAGAACCAGTTGTTATAACTGGTGACTAGACTTAAAAAAAAATAGCTTCAAATCTAATGCAAGAATTAAGCCAACTCCATCAATGATTCTCTGATTGATCATAGACAGGTCATTTATCCTTCCATGGTTTTATTTCACTATATTACTGACATGAGGAATATGATATATATTCTCTATATTGCTATCTAACCAGAAAGGACCAGTAAACCTACAAAGAGCACATTTCTACAAAAGGTACACGTGTATGTCACCTTAGAAGAGTGGTTAGCAATCTAATGTGCTGGTGATAACCTGCAAAATGCTGATTTAACAGACTCTCAAATGATAAGAAATAAGTTTTAATTCAGGTTTTGTTAAATCATAGTACAATTACATCTCCCCCAGGAGTTTCACATAGGGTTCATGAGTCTTTACAGGATAGTGTATGTCAATACTGCTCTAACTGCTTCATAAATACAGGGCAAATTAAGAAAAACATGTGTTTTAGTTTGGAATAACATACAAAGATTTTTACCTTTTTCCATATTAACAACTTAATATTTTGAATCAGTGTGTATATATAAATAAAGACCACTTATAAAAACTTTGCTTTTTCAAAGGCAAATAGCAAATCATTTGCTGGCATTTGTTATGATATTTAGTTTAGGCTTAAGTTAAGAAAAATGAAGTAACCCTTACATAGGAATGGAATCTACTGTTGTGGTTTTTGTTTTCATTTTTTGTTTTGTTTTTCTAAGATCCTGGCTTCAGAGTTAGCATAGCTTAAATTATTTTCCGTGTGCCTTTGAAGAGATTATTCTCTATGTGAAGTAGGATATGTATTAAATTAATACAAACTCTCTGCCATTTAAAGGTCCCACAGAATTCTTCCATCAGTGAACAGGAAAAACAGTGTTGTTTTACTTCTCTGTACATGTATATCTTTCTCAAGAAAGCCTGGGTTCGAAAGCTTTAGGTACTTTGACAACTACAACATATCCTTGTTGCACCTAAATTCCCACATGTAATAGAGAAGCAATTTCTTTAATTTTATTTTGTCGAAGTAAAAGTGCTACAGTGAGAGAAAAAATAATCTTTAAATGAAGTACCAAATTATAAAAGGCATTATAAAATCAGTGATTTCTTTTAATGGTGCTTATATTTTGATATTAACCATGTGCAACTAATCACAAAGTCTTAGAACAAGAGATTTCAGTAGAGTAAAAGTATGTTATATGCAAGCATGAAAATGCCACAATTAGTATGCACTAATAATCATAATTAAAATAAAATGGATAAAGAGCATAAATTTTAAAATTCAATGAGGAATACAAGTAATTTTTAACAAAGCAAAGCATTTTAAAAAAAAGAATAAGAGATTTCTAAACATAAAACAGGAATGATAAATAGGAATGTATTGAAAATATTTCCTTAAAATGAAGAACTAAAATCAAACAGTGGGAGAAAAACTGATTAGTTATTGCAGTGAGGTAGATACTAGGTGTGTGCTTTGTTTAAGGAAGTAATAAAATTAGGACCTAGTAAAACCTGAAAGATACCTCTACCTTCTAATATGTACAGATCTATAATTTCTTATCCATGATTTTGAAATCCACAAAACTCTGAAAATTAAAATGTTTAAAATAAAATTGTGTAGGGGCTGGAGTTTTATAGCTCAGTGGTAAAACACTTGCCTAGCATGTATGAGGCACTGGGTTCTAAGCACCACATAAGAATAAATAAATAAAATAAAGATATTATGTCCATCTACAACTAAAAAATAATAAAATAAAATTGAGTAAATTCATTCATAAGAAAGCAAGATAAATGGCATGAGGCCATTTATAGTCTTTACCTATTTTATTTAGTATACTTTTCATGTAGTTTTTTCAGGTATATTAAGATATGGCTTGAAAATATATCATAACACTGGTATAAGTACCGTATTACTTTTCTGAAATATGGAAACTTCTGGATTCCAAAATACATCTCCCCCAGGAGTTTCACATAGGGTTCATGAGTCTTTACTGGATAGTGTATGTCAATACTGCGCTAACTGCTTCATAAATACAGGTTGAGCATTGCTAATCTAAAAACCCAAAATCCAGAATGCTCCAAAATCTGAAGCACATTTTGAGTATTAACAATGCAAGTAGAAAATTCCACACCTGACCACACGTTACCAGTCATGGTCAAGACACAAGCATCCTGAAATGGCATATAATTACCTTCAGGCTCTGCATAGGGAACATAAGTGAATTTTTTGTTTAGACTTGGGTCCCATTCCCAAGATATTTCATTATGAAGATGTAAATATTCCCAAATTCCCAAAACATTCAAAATTCCAAACTCTTCCAGCCCAAAATCTTTCATGATTCTTTCCTGCTCAGTCGGATAATGACATTCCTGATGGTAGGATACAAACTGGAAAATAAGCCAGGAAGTGGAAGCTTTACATTTGATAAAGCGCTGTCCAAAGGACTGTTCCAAATTCACTCTCCGGATCCACCTTCAAGGAAGCTTGCACTTGCAGGATACCTGGTTTGAATCTAGACCCTGTCCCTTGTTCTTTTAATAATAAATTTCTTATTTTTAAAATTCAAAAAGATGATATAAAGAAGTTCTTTCCAAATTTATTTACTCTCAAAAATATTTAAAAGTAAACTTTTGTCATTCAAATTATAATGAAAAATCAAATACAATTTCCATGCACTTAAGATTGATACTGTTTTATGTTCTACTTTAAATCTGTAATTGGTCATGCAGTGTCAGACTTTATAGCCACCAAATAATCGATCAATGTACACACAAAATTTCCTAACTTGTAGACAAATAAATCATGCAATTATATAACTAACCCCTTCCCCCACAAAACTTTATAGCCAGATGACAATGAAATGTAAAAACTGATCATAGATTCTATCCTGAACTAGAGGGAGACAGTGCTATAAAGAGTATGATTGAATCAACTGAGAAAACTGGAGTAGGATTGATTTATGTAAGTATTGTGTTCATCTTTAGTAGGGGTACAGGGTCACCATGCATTCAAGTTAAACTTAAATGGTTCAGGAAAAAAAAAAGGTTGCAAAGTGCTCAAATAATAAGGGAAATGGGACAAAACATTCATAATGGGTAAATCTAGACTCTTTGTATTGTTCTTTCTTTCACCTTATCTGTAAACTTGAACTTATTTCCAAATAAAAGGGTTTTTAAAGTTAAATTAAAGGTCTGGAAAATAGGAGAAAATTATATAAAAAAATAAGAAGTGATATAGCCTATGCTCTGCTGACTTCATTGTTAATCACAGCTCACAAGCAATAAAATAAGCAAATCATTTTTACCTGGCTCTTGCCATCTAAGGGCCACTCACGTGTGTCACTGGAGCAAAGTGTCATTGTAATAATGAAATAATGGTTTAAAAAAAAAGAAAGCTGTTTTACTAAGCTTGAGTTGGAGGGGGGTGGCTCAAAGTGTTTAGAAAATATGTTTATAGTTTCATGGGTTCTTTTAGTGTTGAAATGACCTTGTTATGTAAATTCAAGTCCAGTAGATTGAAAGTTTTGCCTGTGATGCAGGGATTTGAAAGCTGGCTGAGATTCAAACCTCAGTCTTCAGAGTTTTCTATTTCTCATTTCTTGATATGAACCAAGTGTGATACAAATTCCTAATTAGCACATAAATTTTTCTTGGTTTAATATAAAAGTGGCATTTTACCTTAATGAAATATGAAGTTCTTTAATAATGTTCTTTTCTTCATATAAAACAAGTTTGCTTTATTTTTACCTTTCCTAATTGGGATAGCTGATCATCTGGAAATATTTTTACAAAGGGTATAATTTTAAATTAATTTGCTAAATTTAAAATGATGCAAAAATTAATTCAAAAAATAGATATTGTTTATTTTATTTCTTTTCTTTTTCTTTCTTTCTTTCTTTCTTTTTTTTTTTTATTGTGGTGCTGAGGATCGAACCTCCACGGTCTTGTGCATGTGAGGCAAGCACTCTACCAACTCTGCTCTATCCCCAGCCCTGGATACTGTTTAGATGTCACATTTTTCAGGTTCTTATTTGGAGAATAAGATAGGTTATATCCATTAAAAAGGAATCAAATAAATCATTAACCAATATTGCACAATCATAAGATAAATAGCACAGTACAGTGTGAATGAAGCATTCAACGAATGGATTGTGTTATGTGGATCTTCCTTCCACATAACACAAATGACTTGCTGACAAATGGTACTGTCATTATTGATGATTTCTCTCTGTCCTCTAGGTTGCAGTACATGTTTTGCAGAGACACTTGAGTTAAAACTCATTTTCCTCTTGTTTTTTATAGGGTGTTCATAAGAATGGAAGCAGTGTTTCTTTGCCAGATTCCTTATTGCTGCATCTCATGAATCTACATAATCCTGAGGCAGAGCCTAAATTTAAGGATGACAAACCTGTCACCACTGTAACAACAACAGAGTGAGGGCAAAAACGAGTAAAGATAAAGAAGTGTTTAAATTAATATTCAACAAGGAAGTCATTTCAGTCCACAACGTCTGCTGCATAATTTTTCCAAGATGAACCGATACACGACCATGAGACAGTTGGGGGACGGCACCTACGGGAGTGTGCTGATGGGCAAGAGTAACGAGTCTGGGGAGCTGGTGGCCATCAAGAGGTATGTGCCATTCTTACGTGTGCAGCTCTGGTCTTGCTCTCCTTGGCTTGCTTGAGATTGCCAACAAGCACCTAGAGCGGTCTAGTTCAGATCCCATGCTCGTTTGACTAGTGAGCGATGCTGTTCTGGAAAAAGGGAATCTTCTGTGGAGCCTATTATACATTTCTTTAATTTTCTGCTTTTCCCAGATATTCTGATAAATGAAAAGCATGAAGTGCTCTTCTCTTTATGAATAATACATTTAGACTCAACCTAAAAGTAATGAGTAATTTTCATTTCATCAGTTGATGACCCATGGTGTTGCTCAGTGGCAGAGTGTGCAGTGACTGCTCTGGGTTCAATCCCAGCACCATAATAAAAAAAAAAATTAAGTTGAATACAGCGTAGAGCTTTTTATTATTTTTAAAACAATAAGCTTCAATGTAAGGTGGTATTTCAGTGTGAAATTGACTTCAGAATGGCATAGGATATTTTCCTGAGTATGCCAATTGAATAGCATTAAATATTGCTAATTATTTCTTTTTAATCTGTTGTATTTATCTGTTGGTGCATAACAAAATACCATAAAACTTAGTGATTTAAAATAAGAACAAATATTTATTAATTTACACAGTTTCTGAGGGTCAGGACTCCAGAGGTGACTTAACTGGGTAGTTCTGGCTTGGGGCTTCTCATGAATTGGCACTGGGATATTGACCAAGCTTGCAGTCATCTGAAGGCTTGAGTGGAGCTGGGCTATCAACTCGCAGTGAGGCTCACTATATTAGTCTGCTAGGGCTCCGTGCCAGTCTGATTGGCTTGAAAAACAGAATTTTATTAGGGATCCAATGCAGGGCTTCTACCACTGAGCTATACCCTCGGCTCTATTTTAAATTTTATTTGGAGACAGGGTCTTATTGAGTTGCCCAGGCTGGCCTCAAACTTTCAGTCCTCCTGCCTCAGCCTCCCAATTAGGTGGGATTATAGGTGGGAATCAACATGCCCAGCCAAATATCAGAAATTTGTTTCCATTGATTTCTTGGTAGCTGTAGAGGCTGGGAGTCTGAGATCAAGGTGCTGGCAGGATTGCATTCTTCTGAGGTCTTTGTCCTTGACTTGCAGATGGCTGTCTTTCTGTGTCTCCGTAGGTTCTTCCCTCTGTGTGTGTCTAAGTCATAACCTCCTCTTTTTATAAGGACACCAGTCAGATCAGATTAATGGCCCTTCCTAAGAATCTCACTTAAATACCTCTTTAAAGACCCTAGCCCCAAATACAGTCACACTCTGAGGGGCTAGGGGTGAGGACTTCAACATGTGAGTTTTTTGGGAGGTGAATGGGGACACAATTCACTCCATGCCATAAAGGGCTACTGTAACAAACTCACAGACTGGATGGCCTTAAACAACACATTAATTTTCTTACCATTCTGGAGCCTGAAAGTCTAAAGTCAGAGTGTTGCCGGGGTGGTCCCTTCTGAAGGCCGGGAGGGAAGGATCTGTTCCAGGCCTCTCTCCCCGGCCCACGGAGGCCGTCTTGTTTCTGCGCTCCTTGGCATCATCATCTCCCTATCCCTATCTCTGCGTCCAGGTTTCCCCTTCTTATAAGGGCACTGGTTCTACTGGATTAGGAACCGACCCAATGACTTCATTTTAACTTGATTTCCTCTATAAAGACGGTAACTATATTCAAATATAGTTACACTGGGGTTCCGGGGATTCAGTCTTCAACCTAGGAATGTTTGAAGGACACGATTTGACCCATGACACTCACTCACAGGGTTGGTGAGTTTGTACAGGTCAGTGGCAAGAGGCTTCCATTCCTCTTCACGACACGGCAGTTGGCTTCCACCAGGATGAGACTGATCACCATGTCCCCAGAAGTATGACGATCTAAAATTTAAATGCTTAACAAATAGTTTAAAATATCATTATCCTACAGTGGGGTAGGGAGGGAGAGCATGGGAGGAATAGAGGAACTCTAGATAGGGCAGAGGGGTGGGAGGGGAAGGGAGGGGGCAGGAGGTTAGCAAGGATGGTAGAATGTGATGGACATCATTATCCAAAGTACATGTGTGAAGACACACACACAAAGAATTCTGATGCATTCCTCTGTCATATATAAATAAAAAAGTTAATTAAAAAATAAAATATCATTATACAAAACATTACATGAATAAGGAAACTATATTTTCAGATTGTTCTTATTAATAAATAAGTAAGTATGCAGTGTGCAATAATATAAAAGAAAGATGTACCAGTGCGACTTAATAAAATTCAGCACCTATTCATGATTTAAAGAAAAATTCTCAGCAAATAGGAATAAAAAGAAACTTTCCTAACCTGAGAAAAGCTGTGTGATTCAGCAGAAGTAGGGCCAGGAAAGCTGGCCACGAGCCCGGGTGAGCCATGTCCCTGTGCTAATCCGTCTTGCCCTGGAGCTCCTGACTGGACCATTTGGGCAGAAACCAAAGAAATGGACATGTCAGAGAAATGAGATGAAATTCTCCTCATTTGTAGATTAAGATGATTATGTAAAAACCCACAAAGAAGTACTTTTTAATGCACAGTAGATTTTTTTAGAAAAATATTTTTAAAGGCCTGGAAGATACACACAAAATTCCTGACAACTGTGGCTTCTGGTGAAGAAGGCAGGAGAAAGGATAAGGGATGGGTCTTGTGGTGTCATGGAAGGTCCCCACCATTCAGATCTCTATGACAAAATGCTCATTATTTTGTTCGTGTGGTAAAAACATGGTGTTTGTTTTAAGCTTCATTTTCATAAAACGGGGAACTGGTCTCACTTGCATGGACCTAGGTAAAGTGTTGGGAGCAATGAGGGAACCGATACTCTAAGAAGTCAAACAGGTTGAGGGATAAGAAGAGGTCATAAGGGGCAATTTAGGAATGCTTTGGCGATTGAAATATTAAAAGCTTCAGCCAAAAGTAACTTAAATAGGGGTTTATTTTTCTCACATAATAAAAAGTCTTGGCACAGGTCAGCCATTGAGTTATATATTTTAAGTGAATGACTTCTCTAATACGTGAATTAGATCTCAACCTGCTGTTATTTTCTTTTTTAAGTCTTGAGTAGGCAGCCCAGGCTAGTACCCTGTATCAATGATATCATCACCCACGTAGGCTCCTCTGTCTTCCAAAAATAGCTGTAGCTGCTCCAGGCATTAAGTATGAGTTCTAAGGAAGAAGAAATGGGAAGGGCTGAGGCCAGTTAGTTATTTTACTTTTTTAAAATTTGAGAAGCAAAATCTTTCCCATGGTCCTATCCAGAGGAGTTCTGGTTACTTCCCATTGGCCAGACTGTGTCACATGACACACCTAGCTATAAGGGAGGCTGGGAAACTGAGTACTTGGCTGGACATTTTGTATCCCTGAAACAAAGCTGAGCTCTGTCAGTAAAGAGGATGAGAAGAAGGGTTCTTGGATAGTTAGCTCATATATATATGGCAGACACTCTGAGCTATATTCCCTGTCCACCAGCGTTCTGAAGCAAGGATAGAGCAGAAATGAATGAGTCTTGTGAGAGTTGAGAAGATTTAAAAATTCACACAGCACACAATTGCTAAACTCTTATTTTACTTGGTGCTCAGGATAAAATAAAGACAAGGGAGACACATTACTGTGCATATTGAAGAAGCCAACAACATAAAGTATGTTAAATCCTATGATGGGGGGATGTTGGGTCCTGGGGAACACAGAGAAGTGATGCTAGGAAAGTAATATAAAAGGTTTCCCATAGAAAGAGACCTCAAGAATGAGAAAACAATTACAAAAAAACAGGAGGGGGGATGGGTTGGTAGAGTACTCACCCAGCATGCACGAGGCCCTGGATTTAATCCCCAGCATGTGCATGTACGTGAAAAAAAAGGTGGGATAGGGGAGAATGATCCAGTCAGTAAGAATAGTGTGCATGAAATTTTGGAGGGAAAAGATTATTAAAATGAATAGAGGTAACCAGATTTGCAAACCAAATTTCATATTTGCATTTAAAAGCTCAAAGCTCTAGCTTGGTTATTTGGAATTATCAGTTGAGCATTCCTAATCCACATTTCTGAAATTCAAATGATCCCATATATGAAATTTTTGAGCACCAATAGAATATGATGGTGGAAAATTCCACAGTCACTTCATGCGTGGAGTTCCATGAGATCACAGCTAAAATGCAGGCACACTAAAAAGGTTTTATAAGATTGCTTTCAGTCTGTATGTATGAAGTGTATATGAAACATAAATGAATTTCATATTTAGACTTAGGTCTCATCCTCAAGATATCTCATCATAGATAGACAAATATTCCAAAATCCAAAATCTGAAATACTTCTTGTCTCAAACATTTCAGATAAGGTATACTAACCTGAATTAGTCTGCAAATGGTAATTGAAACTCTATAGAGGGAGATGCGAAGAAGTCCTCACACAGATGACTGACAAACCCCAGCATAGAAAGGGTGGGCTCTGGAAGAGGGTTTTACAAAGAACACTGAGAGAATAGGGGGAAGCCAGAGAGTGTAGAAAATAACTAATCCCAGGGGAAAGATTTTTTAAAAGGAGACGTATTCAACTGGAAGATAAGTAATAGCTAGTGACTGAAATGCATCTGTATTGTTTAAGAATGCCTCTTGCTGCAAGTAACAAACACATAAGTAAGTTAAAAAATGATGACTTAGATAAGTGATTTGTTTTTCTGACATATCTGAAGTGTTGATTCCAGAACTCTTTTAATGATGCAACAGGGTACCCAAAGAATATAGATCTTTTCTATCTTCTTCATACTGAGCAGTTAACACTTTTTGTTGTTGTTCAAATATGTCACCTAATGACCACATTAGGGCTACTTCACCTCCAGGCATTACACCTATGTTCAAGATGGGAAGGAGGAAGAATAATACCAGCAAACTCTTCTCTTATCCTTTAAGAAAGTATTATTTCTTTCTCAGAGCCCTAAGGACTTCCCTCTCATGTTATTGGCTAGAATTGGGTCTTGGTCTCCCTACTTCCAAGGACCTGCAAGGGGACAGTTTTTACTCTTCCAGCCTCTATAGTGGAAGGCAAAAAAAAAGTAAAGTGCTAGAAATGGCCTTTTGGTATCCACACCATATTATCTGCTGTGTGTTCCTTGGATTGGGGGACTATGACATAGCTGGTGGCTACAGTAAATGTCAGTCCAATGAAACTGTAGAAGAGATCAGCTAGACTGCAGTAGAGCAAAGAATAGAAGGAAGGATGGTGACAGCGGTGCTGGGCTTTGGATAGTTGGGAAGAATGTGTAACCAGGTAACTGAAATCACAGAAGAATTGCCGGATACCAGTGAGAGACCCCCTGAGATTCCGTGGACAGACGTGGAAGCCGAGCCTCTGCCAGCACCGAGGTGACTAGAGACCAGAGGACGCCCAGCAAGAGTGGCAGGAAGCTGGGAGAGGGCGGGGCCTTGAGAGGACAGTGAAGAAAGGCTGGGCCCGCTGGATGAGGCCAGCAGAGCCACGCAGGCGACTGCAGGAGTAGCAAAGCTTGAAAAGGGGGAGTGTGAACACATCCTGGGGTAATGATGGTGGAAGGCCGGGTTGCAGCCAGAGTCTGACATTTTTAAAGGTGAGGTCTTGGAGAGCAGCCACTCAAGAACTGTCCCTTGTGATGATCAAATGTGTCTGAGTGACTGTACAGGACAGAAGAGAACATCTTGGAGTGGGGAACTGTGAAGCCAGGCCGCCGGCAGGACTGTCGGCGTGGCTGCTCCTCAGTCTGCAGAAGGGAGACTCGGGGTGGAGCTCACCTTGAGTTGCTTCAAGAGCCACTGGAGAAGACTTTGCCTTTCCTCATAAATTCCCATGCAAAGGAATGAACTTCACCTGAAAATGGCAGATGACAGACCCAGTGATTTCTGTTCTCCATGCATCCCTATTTTTTACCAAAACCACTCACATCCCATAATATCCGATCAGGACCATCATCTTATGCTTGATGGCATAAAAATTTCAGCACTCCCAATTTAGGCCATAAAAATTCTAGGTTTAACACATTTTAAATCTATCCATTCCTTCCCCTTTCCCAAATAGAATAAATTCTATGCTGAATACATTCTGAATGTGCAGATGGAGAAGAGCTGCCGGTCCTTGGTCTTCAAAGTAGACAGTAAGCGTGTCCCCTTGAGAAGAAGTTGCTTATATGGGAGGAGGTATTTTTCATTCTAAAAACCTTTTACAGAGGAACGAGGAATTGGTGTGGGGGTGGGTGCTGTTAGAATGAGACATGCTCAGTTATCCACGAGGCTGAAAAGTAGAGTGGAGGACAAGGGCTGGCACACCACAGAGGTGACCAGGAGAAGTGGGGGTATGTGTGGCGATGGCAGATGTCCAGTGGCGTGGGACAATCTGAGAATATGAGTATGGGAAAGAAATTTATTTATTTTAATGTGGTGCTGAGGATCTTTGAACCCAGGGCCTCGCACATGCTAAGTGAGCACTCTACCACTGAGCCACAAACACAGCCCTGATTTTTATTACAAATTCAGCATTATGTTACATTCATCTTTTATATTTTAGCAAGAAATTTTATGAATCTGTAACACTGAAAAGTATCTTTCGGTATACTGATAGACCCTTGATTTCATTTCTTCATAAATTTCTAGTACTTGACTAGAGCTGAATTTCTGATTCATTAAGGGTATTTTAGGGATTATAACAGTGATGAGCTACATGTCCTATAGTCAATCATAGATAATTGGTAAAAATAAGAATATTTACTGTTTACTGAGTCCTGAATTAAACATTCTGCAATATACTTTTTCTTGTGCAATAGCTTCTACTTTATGGCTAAGGAATTTGAGGTACAGAGGGGCCATGAAGTCACTCATCCAAGGTCATCAGTCAGTGAGCTGCTGAGCCAAGGTCTGCGGCGAGGCCATGCAACTCCACAGCTCACATCCTGTGTCCTTAACCGTGATGTGCTGCCGGCTCTTTCCCCAGTTCCTGCACTGTGTGTTATACCCTGGTAGAGGCTCTGGATTATGAGACTTATTCCAATTAATAATGTAGCACTAAGCTTCTTGGGGATCTTCTAGAACACCTTGGTAGGAGATTATAATGCTAAACTAAAGCAGTAGGGCCTATTTGGTTTTTAGTTTTCAAAAGACAGCAAGTGTAATTCCTATCCCTAAAGAAACATTTTTTAGAACACATCTCCTATCTGATATTGAATAGACTACAAATCTATTCATATGCAAACACAGCTTCTACCTATGGTATACATAATGGAATTGCTTGATTACTCTAAATACACTCTTGGTATGCATCTCTAATGGTATCCACACTGGGATGGAAGAGGGAAAGAAAAGGACAAAATCCAGGAAAGGCTTGGTTCAGCCTCCAGTACTAAAGGAAGCAAGCAAACTACTTCTAAAGCCTTCTCGCTCTGAGTCTTCACTGCTTAAGCCATTTAACTTTATGGTCCTCTTTTCTAAAGCTAGGTAATGATATAAAAGTTGTTTGATCAAATTATTGACTAATTTGCTACCAAAACTGTGATTCTTCCCCTGTCCCTCTCTGGGGTACAGTATTGCTTATTCTTTTCTTTTCTTTTTCTTTCTTTTTCTTTTTTTGGTACTAGGCAGTAAACTCAGGGGTGCTTTACCACCGAGCCACATCTCCAGCCCTTTTTATTTTTTATTTTGAGATAGGGTCTCACAGAGTTGCCTAGGGCCTTGCTATATTGCTGATGCTATCTTTGAACTTGTGATCTTCCTGCCTTAGCCTCTCGAGTTACTGGAATTATAGGAGTGCACCACTCACCTGCTTATATTCATCTTTTAAGTTCCAAAAAAGAAAGGAAATATGGAAGAGGCTCTTTGAGCAAAGCATAACTAAACTGATTAGGAAAATGTTAAGGACTCACCCAGAAAGGAAGATTAATGGTAATGCATCTTTGTGCTAAAGCAGAATGTCAGACCAGACAGGCAAGAGCCTTTACCAACAGCCTTGAGAGGCCGGAGGAGCTGATTTCCGTTAAGAAACTAAACAAAAAAGAGAAGTATCAGCTCACCCAAATTTGTACCTTGTCTTCCTCCACCCTGTATGTTAAACGTTTCCTTTATTTATTTCAGGATGAAGAGAAAGTTCTATTCTTGGGACGAATGTATGAACTTGAGAGAAGTGAAGGTAAATCTTAGAGATGGAAAGCATTTGAAGCCCTAACTCCTGGGGTGGGCCTGGGGACAGTGGCTGGGCGAGCAGTCTATTCTCTGTGGGAAGCATTCCAAAGACAATTGTGTCTGCTTTTCCTTTACCTTCTTGGAGACATTTCTCATTTCTTCTTGCTCTGATGTTAGTGGAGAACAAAAAATAACTGTCTTCATATTTGAAAGTTCTCTCACTTTTAAAAGAGCATTTTAAATTCATATTATCAAAAGAAAGACAACTTTCCAAACTATAACATACTATTTCCTTATATTTTTTCTGTATAACTTGGCACAATTTTTGGAGACTTTTACATGGAGTTTCACATGGCTAAATCAGGAAAAAAAGTTAGACCTGTTAAATAGACTTGAGAAAATGTGACAGATTGAAAATGTTTGGTGGACATTATTGACTTGGTTTATTTTGCATTCATTATTTAAAACATTTGCTACTTGCTTTAAGCAGATATTCTAAGATTCTTTTTAGATTATGGAGATATTAAAATACAGTTCACTAATTTAAATGAAATGGAAAATTATTTAAGGTAGTTAACATACCTAGCATTGATAAGATTTTTCCAACTTCTATAAATTTGCTTTAAGAATTTAAATGCTTTGTTGTTTTGCAGTCTCTGAAGAAACTTAATCATGCCAATGTGATTAAACTGAAAGAAGTTATCAGAGAAAATGACCATCTTTATTTTATATTTGAATATATGAAAGAAAACCTCTATCAATTAATGAAAGACAGGTATGTCTTAATCTTATACAAACTGTATTTTGGATATTATTTCTTCCATGAATTTCTTGGATCTTTTCAATATGCCATACATTATGATATATAGACTTATCACTCCAGGAGGTGGATTTAAATACTGGAGTTATTATTTTTTAAATATTTTTTTAGTTGTAGTTGGACACAATACCTTTACTTTATTTGTTTATTTTTATGTGGTGCTGAGGATCTAACCCAGCGCCTCACAAGGGCTAGGTGAGCACTCTACTGCTGAGCCACAACCCCAGCCCCATTAGTCATTATTTTTATTGAATGGTAGCTCTTTATACTGAAGGACCAGCTGGGACATAGCCACTTTCTACAGAAGTCAAGGTAAATATTTTTATGTAAAAATATTTATATATAAATAATTATTATATATTTATATAAATAACATAATAATAAATAATATTAAATAATATATAATGTATGAGATTTGTGTATTTTTTATGTTTATATATTATATAAATAATATTAAAATATTTATATATAAATAAATATATGTGCTTCTTTCAAAAAATATATATATGCTTTTTTTAAAAAAAATCTACCCATACTATAATATTCAGTAATAAATCTGGCCTTAGGCAAAAGTAAGGAAATTATCTTTATTGTCCTCTCAAGCATCTTATCAAAGCATCTAATCTTAGGGCTGGGAACCTAGCTCAGGGGTACAGTGCTTCCCAGCATGCCCCATGCCCGATACAGCTCTGCCAAAAAGAATGGAGAAAGGACTGAAGTAGCTCTCAAGAAAGGACCTAATAAAATCACTGGTGAGAATGTCTAAGTGAGTGATAATTACCAATCCCAAGGAAATTCTCATTTTAATTGTTACACCTATAGACAGAATCTCTAAAGGTCAAAATATTAATTGTTGGTCACTTCAGTTGGTGGCCTGGCAGAGATTCATATTTTGCAGCCTTAATTTAGTCCTTATTAAAATCTTACTATAGACATTATGTGAACACAATTAAAATCGCATTGTTAATACTGTAGCCATTAGTCACATGTAGCTAATGAATTCTTGAAATACCTAAGTTGAAAATTCTTGAAATACCTAAGTTGAACTGTGGTATTAACATACAATAAATTACACACCAAGTTTGGAGAACTTGGTACAAAAAAAAGAAATTTATTAATCATTTTACATTGATTGCATATTGAAATAAATTAATATGTATAATTTTTTGTATTTATGTATCAGTTAAAAATAAGTTAAAAATAAAAATTTTTAGAGAAATTTTAAAGTTAATCTGATTGTTTCATTTGCTTTTTTTAAAACGTGGCTACTAGAAAACCAAGTATATTAGTGACTTACATTTGTAACTATTAGTGTATTTCTATTGGACTTCAGAAGTACAGTAATAGTTACTAATATGCAATATAAAACTGAAATATGCATGCTCCTTAAAACTCTTAGAGCCTACAAAATACAGATTTCTTAGACCATTGGTTTATCTGATAGTGATTCAATTTTCCAATTTACTTTGTTCCTCTTGGGACAGTTTAGAATTTAGCTATTGAAGCTAAACTATGAAGCCAATCTAGGTGCCCTACAACAGATGAATAGATAAATACATTATGATATATATATCCATCAACCATAAAGATGAATGACTTTATAACATTTGCCAGTAAATAGATGGATCTGGAGACTATTATGCTAAGTGAAATAAACCAATCCCCAAAATCCAAAGGTGGACTGTTTCCACTGATATGCTGAAGCTAAACCACAGTGTAGTGTGGGAGTGGGGGCAGAGGGGAAGAAGAGAAATTCAGTAGATTAGACAAAGGGGAGTGAAGGGAAGGAGGGAGAATAGGAATAAGAAAGACAGTAGAATGAATCTGACATAATTTTCCTATTTTCATATATGAAAATACCTAAGTGAATGCCACTATTGTGTACCCCCACAAGAATGTAGTTCTAATTAGAATAAGAAATATTCCATGCTTGTATAATATTATCAAAATGGATTCTACTATCATGTATAACTAAAAGGAACCAATAAAAAAAGAATTTAACTATTGAATGTATATGAAATACATTCACTGTTGGATTTGAGTTTTTATGAAATATCAGAATACACTTTAAATTTATGACCTTTAACACTATGAATCTATAAATTACACCATTAGCCAGTATCTTAAGGCCAAGAAAGGCTAACAGAATTTCATGACTGTGTATTCATTTCTTCCAGAAACAAATTGTTCCCTGAGTCAGTCATCAGAAATATTATGTATCAGATATTGCAAGGGCTGGCGTTTATCCATAAACATGGTAGGTGTCTTTTCAGTCTGATCTCCCTGTCTCTGTATTGTCAAGGTCACACACAAGAATTGTATGCCAACTGTTCAGTAATGGGGTACGTGCCTATCTATACTCACAGACTTTATAATATCATAATCCTATATGGAGTATCTGTATTCTATAACTTGCTCATCAGCCTGTTGTCTTAGTCATCATAATAAACTCATCCTGCAACCTGTGCCCGCTGATTGTAACAGAAACATTAACAGTGAGAAGATCTTTTGGGAAAGACTGGGATTCTTTGTTCTAGCGTCAGCAGTCACTAACTTTTATTTATTTATTTATTTATTTTTTATTAGTTGTTCAAAACATTACAAAGTTCTTGACATATCATATTTCATATATTTGATTCAAGTGGGTTATGAACTCCTATTTTTACCCCGTATACAGATTGCAGAATCACATCGGTTACACATCCACGTTTTTACATACTGCCATACTAGTGTCTGTTGTATTCTGCTGTCTTTCCTATCCTCTACTAGTCACTAACTTTTAAGTAGCATATAGCCCCTGTAGTGTGATATTTCATGATTATTGTTAGGATTTACATTATTCTCTGAGTGAAATTAAAGCAGGTGCTTGTTCCTGTTTTCTATGAATTGCTTATTTATGTAATTTTAATTTATGTAGGGTTTTTTGCATATCTATCAAACCAGAATAATCATTAGTTCAAAAATCTAACATGTTTATTTTTAAAGAACATTTGTTTAGAAACACTAGATATTTAGGCATTAAGTTGGAAAAGTGTATATCATATCATTGCTGCAGGCAGACACAGCCATCCCAGTCTCCCTTCATGTCTTGTCTGATAATAATATAGTATGATTCATTGGTAAAGGTCAGTTATTTCTTAAGTACGTAGAAATACAGGATGACATGCTATTTTAATTGTTCATAATGAGTTGCTAATTTTCAGTACATTTTAAACTCTGCTCAATTAACTCTTGATATGCCTGACTTTATTTATGCATTATTAACTATAACCTAACATAAAGGATTTAAGGAGACAGTTAGCTTAGGATTTAAAAATTGTGGCTGAATAATCAGAGTTGACTAATATAGTTGACTACACAGTGATTTGAGAAATAAAGTTCT